GTCTATTGAGTTGGAGTAAGTGGTTTCAAAAAACTGAGCAAAAAGATCGGCTATTGCCTGATCATTATCTGCTGTTGAATTACCAAAAGAGAGCGAGGATGGACGCGTAATGGATTTACGCTTGGATTTAACAAAATTATAAAACTGTTTTGGGTCCTCAGAAAACTGGGACCTGCAACGAGTCAAATAATTATTGTAGCACTGCGCGTTATTCACAGTAAAAGTGGATCGAGCTGATAAATAACTAGATAGGACAATCGGAGAACCGGTACGTTGATATTTAGCATATAGATTTGATTTTCTACTTTTGAGGCGGGTCAACTCTTTGGTAAACCAAGGAGGCTTGTTTGATGTAGACGGACAGTATAACGGAACACAGTCAATAAAAAATGAATTCATAACACGATAAAAAATACCCACCGCTTCCGCCATGTCAGTGCATGTGTAAAGATCGGACCAGTTGTAATTAATTATGAAATTATTCAGCCGTACAAAATCCGTCTTGCTAAAGCAGAAGACTTCTTGGGCTGGACTGTCAGATTTATTCCGTGAAACAGTCCCCATGTCGATAGTCACATCGAAAGTGGGATGATAGGGATCTTCGGGTTGCGTCAGGGGCGCCACCCTAGCTAAACTAACTCTTTCCGGATCTGAGACAAAACAAAGATCAAGCAAGCGCTCTAAGGAATTTCGAACATGATTGACTTGGGACAGCGAAATGTCAAACAAGCCAGCAATAAAATCATGATGTGTTGTCGTAAGAAGTGTGTTTGTGGAATTATCTAGTGACCAAATAGCCCCTGGGATGTTAAAATCACCAAGAACTACTAAATGGTTCCTATTAGACTTCTGCATGAATGCATCCAAAATGACAAATGAATCACTTATTCTAGAAACGGGAACACACTTTTTACTGCACAGTATACTTGGGTGTGAGTGAATAGGGTAGTATTGTCTGTTTTGACAGACAGTGTTCTCACTCATTCCATAGTTGTACAGCTGTTTATGAGTACAGCAAAAATGGTGTGCAGTAGTCAAGGCACTGTACAGTGTTTTGGTGTGCAGTGGACTTATTGTACAGTGAGTAAACTTCATGACTGGTACATGCACACATATAGAGTTCTCGTGTGTACTATGTATTTCATATAAAGAATTTTATTTTATTAAAGTATTTACATTTAAATTATTAATATTAGAATGGAGAAACATTATTTTATGTACCATTTTTATGCACTTATTAAAGAATACTGAACTCATCTGCACAGTTGTACACAGACAACTAACAAGCTGTACAACTAACAAGCTGTACAGCAAATATAGTACTCACTCCCGAAGGGTACAACCATATACTGCACTCACGCAAAGTGGGCACACTAAAAATGTTGTGCTATCTACTTCTGGCCTATAGAGTATACTGTACAGAAAGGATTGGGTGCAGTATTTTTAAGAACTCTACATTACTGTACAGATCTGTTATGCTACAAATGAGTACACTCATGCAGAAGTCTAGTCCCTATCCGAATGTCTTTTGGAGACCAACTGAATAGCGGAAAGATGGTTCCAATAAATAGGAAGTTCCGACAATGGAGGAATGTAGGAACATGTAACAAAAATGGAACTACCATTAACTGATAGCTTCACGCAAAGGAATTCAACATTGTTGGATTCCTCGAAAATTATTAATTCGGACGTGAGAGTGGAGTCGACCGCTATAAGGACACCTCCCCCACGTCTGATAGGCCGATCTAGCCGGTATACTGTGAACGCAGCTGGAAAAACTTCGGAGCTCAGAATCTCCGGCTTTAACCAGGTTTCTGTGAACACAATAACTTGGGAAGCAAATGCGACGCTGTTGGAATACAATTTAGGAAGCTTACTGCGTAAGCCTCTTGCATTCTGATAGGAAATACAAAGGGAACTGGTTAGTTTTTTGGGACGGAATTGACAGACGTAGACGGAGCATTGGGCAAATCTGGCCTAGGAAGAGTAATTCCTACAGGCCGCTTTTTCTTTTTCGTACCTTCAAACTCTTTGACAACCACATACTGTGGCCAGGTTTCGGCAGAGCATAGAGTGCCAAAGACTTCGTCAGGAACATTTATCTTGAAAGACAAAATGTTCCTAGGGTAAGAAAATTTAAATTTTTCCACCTTAATTTTTTCTCTATCGACTTTTACTTTGCCTTGGATAAAAGCTATGACATCTTCCGATGTCTGATCAGGGGAAAGCCGCGAAACAAATAGCTGTTTTGTTGGTGGAATTGCCGTAAGGGGTTTTGGCACGGCAGACTGAGCCACCATACCACTTTCGGCCGGTAGTCCGGGCCTGATACCCTGGCAGGGACTGGGATTAGGGCTCTGAGAGGGCTGAGACAAGAGTTGGGACCCCCCAGTGGACAAAACGGAACTGGGCAACACCGGGGGCACGGTCGCACCCGCGACGCATTCGGATACCGAATCTTTTTAGCGCTCGATCTCAGGATTCTTGGAATTTGTCCCGGGGTCTGGGGCAGAGTCGAGGGAGGCTGCTGTGCAGTGCCTATCACTGGTGGCTGGGATCCGCCAGTATGCTGCCCACCAGTTGCGGTTTTTTTGCGCCTAGGAGACTCATTTAACAGCTTGAGGCTATTAAATTGAGTATCCAGCGCCAAGAGCATATCTTGAATTTTGCGAAAACTCAATAATAGCTCTTTAAAACCACCCCTGGTTTGCCGCATAAAAGACATCATTTCCCTCTCCACCTCGCGGCAGGCCTCGCAGCAGTAACGTACGCCGATATTTTTGGCCACGTCATCTACTGTCCGTGCAACAACGCCAATGCACTTGGCATGTACTATGTTGTCACACAGCCAACAGGTGATGGTGAGTTCACCGTAAGTAATATTTTTCTTACAGTTTTTGGCGAAGCAGACCATATTATGGGACATTATAAGGACTTACCACTGTACTTCCACTATTTAAGAGAGGGCGCAAGGGATTAAACGCAGCGGCACTTGATGAGCGGGCGGGGGCAATGAGCAGGAGAGCGAGAGATAAGCGCTGAGTAGAACCGTTTATAGCTGTCGCGGCAACGCAAACAACAACAAACGCTAAAGGCACAAAATGGAATGCAAAAAGAGCAAAATGCAAAGCAACCGCAGCAGCCCAAACTAAAATGCAATTTAAATTGAATTAAATAGCACAAAATAAACAAGTAGCATGCACACGCGAAGTGAACGGGAATTATTTAAAACACCAAATATTAAATGTTAGTAAACCCCGGAGGTTTTTAGACAAATTCTGCACAAATCGGGAGCGCAAGAAAAAAAACACGTCCGTTCACTTTGAAGGAAGAATTGGACTGTAACATTTGTAACATTAATTAACATACATTAAACCACACAAAGTTCAGTGTTGCCGCAACATCTTCCAAGTGCAAATCATCAACATAAAGTGCACAACAATATTAAACAAACGAAGTTGTTTAATTGGGAGAGCCACATGACCTTTGGACTTATAAGCTTCTATTTATCTATACTGACAACATCAGTGCTGGGTGTAGCCGTGCTCAAAGAACCAACCCGCTTACCTCTCTTTCTACACGCCACCTACCTTTCTTCGACTCTCCTTGCCGGTGAGCACGAGAGAGCAGACCAACCACAACAACAACGCCAACAGAAAGAATAGCAAAGGACAGAAAACAGAGTAAGCCCTAACATAAACAACAACAATGTCAGCTCCGGTTACACGCTCGCTAACTGCATCGGCACCAAAACGGGTGCGAACTGACTCGTCGATCGATCTGAAGGCGGGTCGACCATCTGATACCCTGGCAATGGAGTTGGTTGACCTTATCAACAAACGCTTCACGGAGCAGAATGAGCATATCAGTTCAAGCTTGGGAAAAGCTGAACAAAGAATTCTGGCGGAGCTAGAACACAGGTTTAGCCAAAAAATAAATGACCTATCTGAGGAAGTGATCGTTCTCCGCTCACAACGGGACAGACTGGATGAGAAAGTCGGGCAATTGGACAGGGAGGTCGCTGATCTGCGTGCACAGTGTGGAAAGGTGGCTCAACTGGAATCAAAACTGGCATCTCAGCAGGAGCATAACCGGGCGTACGAGGTGCGCATACACGGGCGAAAATGTCCGAGCCTTATTCCACACGCTGTGCATCAACCTGCAGCTAACACCCCCTCCAAGAATCCGGGATATCTTTCGCGCCCGGAAAACCCAAAACACACGTCGACTCGGTGATCATCGTTAAAATGGAAAGCGCTCGGGAGATGATCGCACTCCTCAAGCTGCACGGGCAAAGAGGGCGTAAACTGCATCGCGCACATGAGCGAGCTTTCGACGCTCACTGCAGACCCTCTCTCTTCGTCTCTCACCACTTCTCTCTCTGGCGCTACGATAGAAGCTGGAGATGCTGTCGCTGCTGAACCTAGCTTTCGCTCTTAATCAATTTTATCATTTTCTCTTAGTTAAGTTATCATTAGAATTTTTTTTATCGTTTGTTGTTTGTTTATACTTCTATGTTCCTAAATTGCTTTGCAGATATTGAGCTTGCATTCCTAACTTTAGCCAAATCTTCCAGTGCAGGATGAAGTAAGGCGTTCCATAACCGATAGCCTGATAAAAGTTATTAGTAAACATAAAATCGGGCTCAAAGTTGTTCATCTAAAGGCGCAAAGTCTATTGCTAAAAATGGATGAATGGATGTCGTATTTGAGAATGACCGTTTAAGGGTTGTCAGCGTTTCAAAAAAAAGCATATATTTAAGATTTTTTTTTGTTGAAAGCGTCCAGCTGATTTTAAGTATCGAAACCAAATTATTATATGCTATGTATAAATATACAACTTTTAAAATATCTTAATTCTTAATGATCCAATTGCAATCTGCAAGGGTATATAAATTTCGGCGTGCCGAAATTAGCTTCATTTCTTGTTTTTATTTAATTTAAAATTTTTAGTTATATTCATCTTTCAAAGTTATGATATTAAACTTTTGAATACAAAAGGTCCCAAATTGCAAATAACTCAGATGATATTGACAACGATGGAATTGGATGGACCACTATTAATGAAGAGGTTGATGTAGTAACGCCTATGGTTCTGTCGCACCTACAAAAACTCGGCATCGAACATTTGCAATTACCGGATATGAAAGAAAGCATATCAATAGTATGTATAAGACATTATTTTGAACGAAAAATAAATTAAAAAGAAATAATTTTCTAGAAACCCCTTTTCATCACATATGTGGCTGGTCTTTACCTAACTAATGGTATAGTATACAATCTCTTCGGAATTTCTCGACACGGTTGTGCGTTTATGACATATCAAGGCAAATCATTCTTGAGTCGATTTTATTTAAAAATAAATAAGTTACAGGTGGGATACATATTTTTTTTGTTTTTCATCATACCGATATATTCGGACAGCTAATCGCAATTATTTTATAACTATATTTCTTAAATACTATATAACGTTGTATTTTATATGTTTGCTTTTTTACACTATCCGTTTTTTACTGAAACTAAATTAATCCCATTTCCACACCACTTGGTGGTAGGGAATCTTTGATAGGCTTTAAGTGGTGAGGTTACTATCATTGGTAACCTCAAATGGGAACTAAGCTCCGTTTTAGCCCACACCCTCGTTTTGCTGGTAGTCAACGCGTCCTCTCAATACCAACCAGTGTCATTCAGGTAAGCTAGGATGGCAGTAACTGACTGCCTTTCTTATTCTTACTTCTCCTAGTGCTCCGAAATGGTGAGCTCCGAAGTGTCGCGCCTTAAGTTGGTTGAATGCCTGGCTCCGGTGTCTCCTGCTCGCTTATTTAGAGGATTCAGTGCGTTTTTAATTAATGTGGTTTCCCCTCAAATCGGCCTTGCTTTGTATACAGAGCTGATTCATACAGTGCCCTGGACGCTTTGACGGGGTGTATGTATGTATTATATAAATTTTGTTATGTTTAGTATGCGAGAATATTGTCTAAATTTAAAATATATTGGTAATTTTTAGAAACAAAAAGGAATTCCCCATATAGTAGTAGTAATAGGAATTCCCGTCTCTGCCGATTTTATATTTAGGATAAAACTTGAATCAATTATTATTATTTTGACTTTAGCCTTTTATAGCATTTTTAAGAATGGTCCTATTGCATTGGAACCACCAAATTAATTTTCTAAAGAAAGTATCTGTTTTTCCCTTTCCATTCCTTTTATTCAGCTCCCTCGACATGACGTGAACGCTTCCCAGTCGGAAAAAAATTACATGAGAAAATGGGAGGGCTTTTTTAATTACTCTCCACTTCTACAAAGCGGTAAAGGACAAACTCCCGAAAAATTCGAACGAAAATTGCCTTTGGGGACTTTTATTGTTTCAACAGTACTGTGTCGACATGTACATAAGTCAAAGTAGAAACGGAACGTCTCAATCATGATAGAATTGTACCATGGTCTCAATTTCATTCTTTTAAATCAGTCAAAGTTTTGCTCAGACGAGTACATCCAGCCAGCACGAACGCTGGCGAACCACGAGCAGCAGAAGACGTGCTCTGCTGTCTCCTCTTTTACTCTGTGGCAACACATGCATACACGGTACCAAGCCTCCGCAGGTAGCTCCTAAAGCAGCCATGACCGCACAGCCATAAGCACTTGGGTCAGATCGAAGTTCATCTTCCCATGCTTCCGATGAGCTCATCTTCCCTTCGATGAGTAATTTTTCAAGATGCCGAGATTTCCAGTATCCTGTCAAAAGACTCTAGAGAGAGACTAGGCGCCAGGTAGCAGCTGTAAAGCCCCGTACCACCATCGTTCGCTCTGAAAAATCCTGCGGCCGCCTTGATGTCGCGCATCAATGGCGCCTCCGCTCTGCAGAGCCAGAGTTGCGGCTCCGCGGCTTCTAAAGCATTTGGGGTTTGCTGCGACACGTGTGTTTGTGGGGTTAGCTCCGATGCTGATGGTCCCGGCGCGAGCTGCTGGATTAGCCGTCGCCATGGCTCCGTTTGGGATGCGCCCTTCTTTCACCAGACCGTCGTTGTCTGCTGCTTTCGGGCGCAGAACACCAGAGTCCCGGCTCTCATGCCTGCCTCTTACTAGCCACGAGGATTTAAATCAAGTGATTCGTGGAGACGGTAATGCGATGCGTTATCTTATCCATCATTTTTATTGAGGTACCCTGCAACATCTGTAACGTGTAACGAATGTTTTGGGGCGAGCTGACGTACGCGCTGGTTCCGCCTCAAAAGTAGTTCGGTGGTTGGGAGTGGGAAGGGGAGAAAAATACTGATCTCACAATGCTCTTTATACGTACAATAATTATTTACCTCGCGTACTTTGGTTGAGGGGAAACGAAAGAAAAGGAAAAGGCACTGGACAACTAAACTGGGAAGCTATGATGGTGTTTCAGCTCCCTTTTACCCCACCCTACCATAATCGCATGATACAGCCAAGGCTGGCGATCCGTTGGTTAGTTATCCTGTTTCAGGACATCCTTTGGTTTGAGTATGGTTTCCCATAATAAGATTTAATCGACTTTCAACATGATAACAACTTTATTTCTAAACTTCATAATAGACCCTATAGAAATATAATTTTAAAGCAGAACATAAAACAAAAGTATGTGACAGGATGTTTTATTTATTATTTCTTTATTCTTTAGTTCTTTTTCGCACAGTCCACGTCTTTACTTTTTGTTCGCTTGAATGACAGTGATCTTACTGCCCGTAGGCAGCTCACTCTTCAACCACGAAAACCAGCAGCGAGAGAGAGAGTAACCTGCTCTCTCAGAGAGCGTAGCTCATCCAATAGTGTGACCAGACCTTACTTATGGTAATTGGCCTGCTACAACTCGGCCGTCCTGACCTTGAGATAGCCCACTATCTCGGCTTGGAAAATACCAAGTCCTTTTGTCACTTTTCGAGTATAACTACTATTTTTTGTCAGATTCATAACATTATTTTCAATTTATCCAAAAATTTTGAATATTTTTGACCTTTTAGGAATATATTTGTATTATATTTTTCCAAATACAGCTTCGGTCATCAAAAACACGTTTTAAACTTATCTACAACCACCAAAAATAGAACTGAACAATTATAGAGTTAGATCTTTTACAAAAAACATAAAATTTAGTTTATAAAAGATGTGGAAAGCGAAAAAAGGTTCAAGTAGGTAAAACGTGCAAAATTGAGTTTATGTGAGTTTATTTCGTTTTTTTATTCTAAATATTTGAATTTATTTGATAAGTTGCTGTTTCTTTCTTAAAATAACTAAAAATTAATTAAGAAAAATTATAGAAAAAAAATTTTTGGATTTGCTTGTGTGGTTTGGTTTTTATTGATGACCAAAGTCAGAATCGTGAACATACACTCAGTTGTGCTCGCCACTGTAGTTTGTTGACCCCAAACATGTTCGAACCTCCGGACATCTGGAGGAAACACCCTCCCGACGGAATATTCCTAATCGCAACGAGTACAGACGAGCATACCAAACACCTAACTGAGATATCACCATTCATCGTCAAAAAGACCATCGATTTTGCAATTCAAGGAGAAGTTATTAGTTGCAAAAAAACCAAGGACGGCAATCTACTGATTAAAACCAAAAACAAATTACAAGCCGAAAAACTTATGAAACTAGAGACCATGCCTACAAATATACCATCCCACATTATACCCATCAAAATTACTGAACACCGAAGCCTTAACTCTACTAAAGGAATAATTTATTCAAACGACTTAAGAGGAATTGATTAGCAAGAAATATTGGATAATCTTAAATCGCAAAAGGTTGAAGCTGTAGAAAAAATCTACAAATATATCCCTGGACAACCCTTCGTCAAAACACATTAAAATGAAACCGGACTTATCAAAATTACTTTCAAACTAACCAACCTACCAGAATCACTATACATTGGTTACGAGAAAGTTCCGGTACGACCTTACATTCCACCCCCAATGAGCTGCAACGACTGCCTCCACTTCGGTCATACCGCTAAGTTCTGCAAGAACCCTCCAACCTGTGCAAACTGTGGACTCCCAGCTCACGTAAATTACGCCAACGCAGAAATATGCCAAAACGCCCCAAACTGCATTAACTGCACCACTAAAAAGCTTCCCGAGACTAACCACCACGCCCGTAACAGAGCATGCCCAATTTTCTTGTCCAACAAGGAAGTCCAGGCAATCAAGACGCTAGAGAAAGTCGATACCAGGTCAGCCTGGTCCATCTACAACAAACGACACCACGATGGCTCTTTATACTCTTCAGCAGCTAAATCAAACACACCAAACGCAATCCAAGCACAACTATCAACTAGCAGAAAAACAGTAAGCTACACACCAAACGAATTCGACCTACCTACCGCAACGAACCTCAGCTCTGACGAACCCATGTCAACAGAATTGGAATCACCAGTACCAGTACCTCCCAGCCCGACCCCACCAAAAAGAAATTAACAAAAATCCTCCCCCTAAACACATCAAATAAAACCAAACGACTATTGAAAACTGAACAGAGCTCAATTATGACTAGAGCAAAACTTAAATCCATATCCGCTATAAGTCCAGATCAAAAAATCAATTAGATACCACATACTATTACCATTTATCCTTATCTATAAGTACACCTTTATATTAATCAAACCGATATGCTAAAAGTTATACAATGGAACATACACGGCTATAGAAATAATTATACTGAACTACAAATGTTAATAAAAGCTCAAAACCCACACATTATAGCCCTACAAGAAACCCATTTATCAAACCTCTCCTCACTCCCCACCCCAATTAACTACACACTTTACACCAGCGTCAACAACAGCAATAGCTTTGGCGGCGCTGCCCTCCTCATCCATAATTCCATTACCCAAAACCAAATTCCACTGAACGCAGACTTCGACGCAGTCGAAGTTAACATACACTCCAAAATCAAATTCACTATAATATCTGCCTACATATCTCCCACCAAAACATTTAATTCTAAAAATCTAGAAAACATCCTTGACCCGCAAAATGCCCACACGCTAGTGCTGGGTGACTTTAACAGTTGGCACCCGTACTGGGGTTCACCAAAACAAAACAGTAGAGGTAAAATTATAGCCGAATACATAGACAAATCTGACTACATTCTCCTCAACGACAAATCCTCCACTCATTTTTCCACCCATAAGACCTTCACACACATAGATTTATCTTTTGCCTCAGCGTACATAGCCCCTGAAATCCAATGGAAAGTGCTAGATGACCTATATGGCAGCAATCACTTCCCTATACTAATATCCATGTTTAACGACCAAACTTCTCCTATCTTTATGTCAAAACCCTTATTCAAACTCCAATCCGCAGACTGGGACCTATTCAGAAAAATAGCCTCCGACCTCAA